TTTCCTCCCTTCCCATAGCATTTTAGGATTGCAGATACCCTGATCTTATCGTAATAAACAGTCCCCACACTCCGGACTGCTCGCCTTTACTACTTCCTTCATCACTTCCTACGTCACGGACCTGTTTCCCTCCCTTCCCATAGCATTTTAGGATTGCCCATACCCTTATCCAATCATCATAAACAGTTCCCACACTCCGAACAGCTCGCCTTGACTACTTCCTTAACACCTTCCTTCGTCACGAACCTGTTTTCCTTCCTTCCCATAGCATTTTAGGATTGCAGATACCTTAATCCAATCGTCATAAACAGTTCCCACACTCCGGACTACTCGCCTTGACTACTTCCTTCACCACTTCCTACGTCGCGGACCTGTTTTCCTCCCTTCCCATAGCATTTTAGGATTGCAGATACCCTGATCTTATCGTAATAAACAGTCCCCACACTCCGGACTGCTCGCCTTTACTACTTCCTTCATCACTTCCTACGTCACGGACCTGTTTCCCTCCCTTCCCATAGCATTTTAGGATTGCCCATACCCTTATCCAATCATCATAAACAGTTCCCACACTCCGAACAGCTCGCCTTGACTACTTCCTTAACACCTTCCTTCGTCACGGACCTGTTTCCCTCCCTTCCCATAGCATTTTAGGATTGCCCATACCCTTATCTAATCGTCATGAACAGTTCCCACGCTCCGGACTACTCGCCTTGACTACTTCCTTCACCACTTCCTACGTCACGGACCTGTTTCCCTCCCTTCCCATAGCATTTTAGGATTGCCCATACCCTTATCTAATCGTCATAAACAGATCCCAGACTTCTCACTGCTACCCTTGACTACAATGTATCGAGTAATCTTCAGTATAATCTTTGCTAAATGATGTTTTTCCTTTTGTACTGTATTTGTAATTTGCTAGTATACTGTGGGTAGTTGGCTTATTATGAACACATGCTACAACTTCAAGTCTTTTGTTTACTTTTTCCTTGTTATTTAATTCAGCCAACAAGGTTACCTAGCAACCCATAAGACTAATGTTAAAAAAATGTGATTTTCAGTTTCATTTTTCTACGTAATTAGATTTTTGTTGGCAGTTCTAACTGCAGTAAACTCGTTTTTAGGCCAGAATTAAACTATTTACAACATTTGAAGAAAATCGTCGGAACCGTTTTCGAGATCTTTGTGCAAGCAAGCATACATACATACATACAAGCAAACATTGCTCGTATTAGAGTATAGGATATATTGGTAAAATTTGGCAAATTTATTTTTTTCATCCTATACTATTGACGTATGGTCAAAAAACACTTTTTACCTTCCCCGTAGCAACAAACCTAAGCACTCGTTAAATCTAATGTTATTTAAATAGGGAATAAATATGTCTTATTTATGGAAATATTTTAGTAAAAATTTAATCAGACAAGTTGACATTCGCTTAGTCTGCAGGTTTGCTGCGGCAGGGGTATTTTATAGTAACAACCTAATTGAGTTTGCTGAATCACCCAGTATACATATAAAATGTTTTATATAGTCAGTGGATGGATTTATTTATATTTAATGAATAATAAATATAAATAAAAGGCATTGTCTTAACCCTGCATCTTGCAGCTAGAGCTTGTGCGTTTCTTAGTGAAGCCTGGGGGTAGGTGGTTAGAGTGGCACGATAACTCGAGCAAAAATGATCCGATTTTGATGAAATTTGGTACAAACGTGTAAACGTACGTTTATTCGAACGAGTTCGCGATCCAGCATGATCGGACCATGGGAACGGGGGTTTACGGGGGGTTTTATGGGGTAAAAATAGGTTTTTCCCATTTTTGACCCAAAAAACATAAAATTTAGCAATTTCTTTCCAAACCATTTTGTAGAGCTTAAAAAAACAAATAATTTAGTATATTGAAGCGTTATTATGCGCCTAATGGTTACGGAGAAAATTCCAAAAAATTGTAAATTTAAAATTCCCATGTTATTCTTATGGAGAATAAGTAAACTGTTGTAGTTTGCTTGTTTGTGAACATATTTTGATCAAATTTGGAAAATGTTTTTATTTCTTACTAACTATTCACATTTTACAAAAAAAACAGTTTTACCCTCCCTGATGCAGCAAACCTAAGTACTTGTTAAACTAATTCTATTTATCAAGAATAAATGTTATATTTTTAAGTAGACATTTCAGTGTAAATCCAATCAGTCAAATGGAAATTCGCTTAGTCTGCAGGTTTGCTGCGGCGGGGGTATTTCATTATCAGCAAGTTTGGTTAATTTGGTTAGGTTACGACAGTTTAATTATATTTAATTTAAATTCAACCTACAAACGATACGTTTTAACACGTTTGCTGCTGACCGCTAGATGCCGGGACGGCGCCAGGAGCTGAACTAACGCTCGTCGCTGGGTAAACATTGCTGCCGATACACTGAATTACAGTAAAAACAACAGTAGTTGTACTGGATGGCAATGTTCTGCAATAAAACTGGCTTTGGAGTACTAAGTGATTCTGATAGATAGCAGCACTACCCAGGTTGCAGTCGGTAAAGTAGTGTCGCTATCTAGTAGGAAAGAGGGGGAACAAAGCCCTGTTCTAAACGACCCTGGTGGTGAATTTGGGAAACTACCTGTCTTTTTTATTGTCAGAAAAGTACGTCCCCACGAGCTGCAAAGAAATATAGGACGCTCGTGACGAGCTGGCTGATCCATGGTAACATTAAACATCAATGAACAGCGACGTTCCGGAACGTTCCTAGCTCCTGGCGCCGTGGCCCGTTTGACGTTCTGGAACGTCCGTAGCAGCGAACGTGTTAACAGTCACAGTGATAGAGATAACAATTTGCCGCGAACAGATACTGTAGGCTATGCTGATGCGCCGGTATGATTCGGAAGCGTACGGCATGGTGCGGTGGAGGGGGGTGTTACAATCGGGAGAGTCTTGTATATTTTTAGGCTTTCCAACAAATAGTGGTTCAATTTATTTGCACTGAACAATTGATTGTTATTTACCTTCAAAAAGTATGTTAAATTAAAATTACCATATCTAGTGGAAATCTTTAGACCTTTATTTCAGGCATTTCTCCTGATATAAATTAAGTCTCCTATTTATACGAGGTTCTTTCCTCTAAACTTGTAATATTCCAAATGAAGATTTAAATTTAAAACTTAATCAATCAAAACTTAGTACTGTTTGTTTCTTTTAACTAAAATGGGAAAGTGTTATAATTTTATATTATTATTATAATTTTGTTTTATAAGTTGGTAGTCCTGAGTGTGTAGAATGGGACAATGGGGACGTCCTGTAATCCAGCTACTAGGAGGTCATGAATTGTGGATATTTATAGGCATGCACTGTGGATGCAATACCCCTTATGTGGATTAACATATGCACTAGTGAGTACTAAGTCCATCCGTAGTACTTTTCTGATAATTAGACCAATTTGTTGATGTTGATACCAAGGCAAAATACCCCCGCCGCAGCAAAACTGCAGACCAAGTGAATTTCCATTTGCCTGATTGGGTTTACACTAAAATGTCTCCTTAAAAATATCACATTTATTCCCTATTTAAATAACATTAGTTTAATAAGTACTTGGGTTTGCTGCAACAGGGAGGGTAAAAAGGGGTGTTTTTTTATTGTAAAATGTTAATAGTTTAGTACTAAATGTATGCATTTTCCAAATTTGATCAAAATATGTTCATAAGCAAGCAAACTACAAACAGTTTACTTATTCTCCATAAGAATAACATGGGAATTTTAAATTTACAGTTTTTTTGGAATTTTCTCCGTAACTATTAGGCGCATAACGACTCTTCAATATACCAAATTATTTGTTTTTTTAAGCTCTACAAAATAGTTTTGAAAGAAAATGCTAAATTTTAAGTTTTTAGGGTCAAAAATGGGAAAAACCAATTTTTACCCCATAAAAACCCCCATAAACCCCTGTTCCCATAGTACGATCATGCTGGTTCGTGAACACGTTCGAATAAACGTAGGTCTACACGTTTGTACCAAATTTCATCAAAATCAGATGATTTTTGCTTGAGTTATCGCGCTAACGGACACACATATAAATATATTTATATGTATATGTATTTATATATATATATATATTTATATATATATATGAATTTGAACGGATGGTGTTTTTGGCCTCTAGGGACCTCAAAACGAAAAAGTAAATCGGTCCCGAGTCCAGGTCTTACCTACAGTTACGGGTGTAGGTCTACAGTAATCGCTTATTCCCTATAGAGAAATTCGCTAAAAGTAGTTCGGATTCCACTATAAACTGTAGGCCCCTTAATTTCCATTAGCTGTATGGCTATTAATTAACAGCTGTTTCTAAAGAATATGTCGACCTTGGTCACTAACAAGACTACAAGATCGCGCCACTCATCCTACACTCATCTTCATTTATACTTGGCTTAAAATTCCTACTTTGTATGGTCGCCATTTCAATGAAAAGTATTAGGCCTAAAGTATTAATTTGTTAGCAATTGACTTTATTTCTTTGTACTGAATCTAACAAAAATTGAACTTTTAATATTCCAAATGAAGTTTTTAAATTTAAAACTTAATCAAAACTTAGTTCTGTTTGTTTCTTTTTACTAAAAAGGGGAAGTGTTATTAGTTTAAGTTTATATTATTATAATAATTTTGTTTTATCAGTTGGTTGTCCTAAGTAGTGGGGATGTCTCTATGCGTAGAGAGGATCCTTTTTCTGAAATCGTACTCCAAACTAGTAACATTAATTTTGTATTATCATGTTCAATTAAAAGTATATAAAAATGTACTAACATTGAATTGGTGTTTTATTTAATAACTAAAAGTAATAACATGGAGTACTTCAACTGTGGGATCCTTGTTTTCATGATCACCAAAGAGTGCTTTTAAGAACTGCACAAGAAATTTGTCATCCTTTGAATGTCAACTAACCTTCTAATCACTAAATCTTCAGTAAAAAATTGTGATTCACCAGTTGTGTTTTTTAATATTTTATTTTGTATATTCCAGTGACTACAAGTCAATAGATGGAGAATTCAACAGACCAGACATAGTGAAGTCTGGCTCAGGAGTTGAAAACAGCAAAACTATCTCTCCTGAGGCTTATAAACAATCTCTTGATAACTGTGGTAAATTTGGTAAAGAACATGAAGATAACGCTATCAATGCACAATGGGAGAAGGAGAAAAATCAGGAAGCTCAAAATGATTCATCAATCCAACGTGAGTTTTGAGAGTAGTTCTATTAGCTTTTTTACTTTCTCTACATACGGAATACATAGCATATGGAGAAAGTATTGTTTTCTTCAAAATTTTTGAGTTTTAAATTTGAGTAGATACCTACGGTATATCCGTTTTTGGTCCCCCTGAACCCGAAAAAGTGGTTCTGAAAGTAATGTCTGTCCGTGTGTGTGTACTAAGCTTAAAACCACACCTGTAGTCCGATTTTATTGAAATTTGGTATGTAGGTACTAGTCTATAGTATCTCCAGGTTTTTTTTTTCATTTTGATTTTTGATTTTCCTATAAAAAAACATAAAAGAACGAAAAACTACAATTTTCTCAAAAATGACATGAACGATTTTGAATATATTGATAAAAGTTTAGTGTGTTGTAGTCCTTTAAATTCTGAACAAAATGATAGAATTCCCATTCCTGTAAAAATTACGATTTAAAAGTTATTATACCTTAATGTTCTTTTCCCATAAAAAAACCATAAAACTAGAGAAAATCTGATTTAAAAAAAAACCGGTCTTGATTGAAATTATTATGTGATGGTCCTTATAATTCTTAACAACATGGTGCAATCCATTATTGCTGTAAAAATTTCAATCAAAACCCATAAAAAAACAGAAAATTGAATAAAACAAAAATCCTGTTTTAAATAAAAATTTTCTTTTATGAATTTTATACAAATTAGTGTCAACAAATTACTGTTATAATTGCGGTTCAAAAGTTAATGAAATGTTTGTGATTTTACCTATTAAATATCATAATTACTCTCATCGCTTAAACCTAATAACCATTGTTGACAGGATACAATGTTACAGAAACAATGTTAAGCTATCTTTTAGGGCCTCTAACAAATTGTCATCCATCCTAAAAGAAAAAAGAAAACCCTCTTCTGACAAAACTGAGCTATCCGGTGTTTACAAAATTAATTGTGACACCTGTCCTAGTTTTTATATAGGTCAAACTGCACGCTCTTTCAAAGCCCGTTTCAAAGAACACCTTCCGAAGAAATCCACCCAGAAAAATAATTCTGCTTTTGCCCAGCACCTAATAACAAACAACCATTCATATACATCAATAGAAAATAATTTAGAAATTTTACAAATTCATAGAACTAAAGGCAAACACAAACGTAATAGAAGAATTTGAGATCTACAAAGCTGGCAAGAAAAATCCCCAACACATTTTGAACGAAAAAGCCTCTTTTGAAAGCAATTTATTATATGAAACAGCAGTCGGCATTGAAAGAATGATAACACGGAAAGGACCTGATAAGAGCTGGAAGAAGGGGAGGGGGATGACAGATGGACAAAACGGCAGTGACGACAGTCTGGACTTGTAACTCAATGTGCACATACCGTCCGCCGCGCAGTCAATTTGTGGCCACACGTGTTTTTGTAAAAATGTGTTTAAGTGTTTTAACTGTTCTTCGTTTCGTATTTATCGACTTTATGGCAACCTCTTCGGAGTAATTATGTGTCCATTCAACGTCTGAGGATGACCCCTTTAATGGGTTGAAACCGGTCGCCTTTCATCGGTGACTTTTTGATCACTCTGACGGATTATAAGGTATTTTAACCTCTAGTAATAATTTATATATTGTGATCAGGAGGCAAAAACAACAAAAATGATATTGTTTTTACTTACAAAAAATAAATTGTATTAGAATTCAAAACTACAAAATTGTCTATATGGTGTAGCTTGGGTTGTAGTGGTACTATTGATAATATTCTTGTGTGTGGCAGATTGCGTGAAAATATAATAATAATATCTATGGTTCTTACCGTCAACGCAATCAGGGGTAATATTCCACTACGGCCGTTTCGGAGATGACTCCATCGTCAGGTGCGTAGTGGTACCCAACCCTACTTCAAACTATGCCGAACACATTCAACAGTATTGCCATGATTATTCCGACATAAACAGTTTAGAAATACCGTACTACATTTTGGCAATAAAAGTCACAAACTTAATTGCATCAAACATTTTCATATCTACAGCAGTACAGCTAAAGAACCCAACTTAGTAATTAACTCCCAAACAAATTCAGCAGCCAATCCAATTTTTGAGAGAATAATAGAAATCAAACAGGAAATAAATAATTTGAGTAGATAAGGTTGGCACACCGTGTTATCAGCTGTTCCAGTCATCCACGTAACTCCTGCAGTGACCAGGATTGAACAGTCGGTCGTCAGTTTTCAAGCTGTGCACGCGCTCTAAATGTTTTTGTGTGTCCGTCCTGTACATATATGTGTATTATTTATTTAACCCCTGACGCAATGCAAATGAAGAAAGTTTGTGTAAAATGTGACAAGACTATAGTTTAGTGTACCACTACGCACCTGACGATGGAGTCATCTCCGAAACGGCCGTAGTGGAATATTACCCTGTTTGCCTTGACGGTAAGAACCATAGATATATTTTATTTTTATTTTTTATCTTATTTGCTCGAAAGCAGGCTTATATTATATGCAGCCTCGTTGTGCACTAATTTATTTGACGATTCTGTGGTTTTCATTAGGATTTAGTCAGTTTTTGTTAGGATTGACTTGGAATTGTTGAGGATATTGTTTTAGTTTGGTAGGAAATTTCATTTTGGTTATTGTTCTTTTTTGTTGTGTCAAGATAATAGATGGGATTTTGTAGGATTCTAAGGCCATGATGGGATAGTTGGGAGAGGGGTTGGGTTGGAGTCTTCTCGCTTGAGGGCTGTCAAGCATTTCTATCCCGAAAAGGAGGCCCATGGATGAAGAACCCAAGGATTGGAGTGAATTATGTGAGTGTTTGGTTTTGTTTTCTGTTTAAATTGTTCTCTTTATGTGTATGAAGAAATCTATGATTTCTTGATATACTGTGGAGTCGTTATTTCTGAGAATTTCTTTCAGATAGTTGGAGCTGTTACATTTCTGTATTATTTTCTGTTTTGATTTAAAACATCTATTCCTGGCTGATTCATGGGCTGGGCATTCAATAATCAGGTGTTCTACTGATTCATGAGGAATAGAGATTTATTCACATTTGCATGTCCCAAACGTAGTCAACACATCGTGATAATGTCCTTTCTTTTTAATCTTGAATTTCGGAACCATGTGCATTTGGGAACTGTATCTACAATTCCCTTATACCAGTTACCCTTTTCAGAGGTAATAAATAACTTGTTATGTTGACTGTGGTAGAATGTATTTAGGTAGCTCTTGAAATCGTCCATGGGTACTATCAAATTGTCTATTACGGTACCATGGGTAGTAGCTTCCTTTGCTAATTTATCAGCGGTTTCATTGCCCATGATGCCACAGTGGCCAGGAGACCAGTGTATAAGGATATTTTTTCCTGAATTGGAAAGCTCATACACAATGTCCATTGCGATGCCATCTACATCACAGTTTTGATTAATTTTGTCTATGGCTGCTATGGCTGATTGTGAGTCTGAAAATATTACAAAATTATTATTAGGGGTCTGCGGGTCCCCGATTTTTTTTTGGGTCGGGTCGGGCCAGCGGAAGGCCCGAGAGACCGGGTCGGGCCAGAGATTTGTTCGGGCCAAGATCGGGTCAGGCAAAAAAAAAAAATAATTTATTTTCAAAGAAACACTCTTATATATATTATTACAGAGGAATTAAAATGTTAAAATTAGAATTAAAAATTAAGTTTGGTCACGACGTTTAAGAACAAAGACGACACAGCAGAGCAATTGCCGTACTGCCACTAGCCAGAGCCAGTGGTCTACTGACTGAGACTGACAAAAGCCGCAACAGTGCAAAGAAAACGAAGTCAAAAGAAAGACTATTTATCCAGAGGTACCAGTTTAATTATTTCTTGTTTATTCCATACCTAGTTTAATAGCTATTTACATTACAAGTGTAGTAAGAGCATTTTTACATCACGCAGGTGAATGTTGTGCAACGAGCGAAGGCGAGTTGCATAATTCACCGAAGTGATGTAAACACGCTCTTGCGTAACGTGTAACGTACAAGATTTTACCTGACCCGACAATATTCAGGAGGTTACAAGCAATATGCTTCATTATCAATTTCACTCATCTTCTAACAGTAACGTTCATTTACAAACAAAAGCTAGGTTAGGAAAATTCTTCAAAGCATAACAATAAAATTCAAACACACAGCTGATTTCTAGCGTTGAACGTCGTTGGCTCCATAGAGGTATATTTTTTAAGTTATCCACTCAATGTTATTTAAATGGGTTTCATTACATCACCGAGTGAGATTTTTCAACTTTACATCACTCGAGAAGTAAGGAAGTTGTATACATCACGCTTGGGATAGGGAAGTTTAACATGGCGGGTTAGGTAAAATATATTTTAGTATTTTAACTAATCAATTATAAACAAAAGAAATAGGCTATCTGATATAGTGTACAGATCTGTATCTTGTTCTTTTATTTTCCTATTTGTCATTCAGTAACAAAACAAAACAACACTTCTAAACGTCTGGTTCAGCATTGTATGGTCACCATTTCAGTTTTTTAAAAAGTATCAAGTATCAGCAAGTCTACAAAGAGGTTAGACCTAAATATTTTATAATTTTATGAAAGTTTTCATCAGTAAAATTATTTTTTTCTTAAGTTAGATTGAGTTTTAAATACCTAAGATATTTCTAAGATCCAATACAATACTTACAAGACACAAACTACCATGAATTAATTTAATTGGAAATTATCTGTAACAGTTTTATATTTTTGAATAAAGAAATTTGTCTCTATTACCTTGTTTTGTTACTTGCATTTTGTCAGCAATTGGAACAAGCGGGAACCGGGTGGTGTAAGAGGGGTTGGGGAGGGGGAGGGTTTTTGACCTTGAGTGTCCCCCGGGTTGTGTAAGAGGGGAGGTGAGGGGGAGGGTCTGTATCTTTGAGTGTCCCCGGACCTGGCTGTGAGAGTGATTCATGGTTTTTTGTTTACATTCTACTACCCTTCCTTCCGAAAAGACCCTACAGTTTCAAAAACATTGACTTACAGTATAAAAACATTGAGTTG